TGGTGTCTAATCATGATTACCTTTTCAAGCTTTTCCAACTTTCCTGTTTTGATAAACTCATCTATCTTCTTCCCAATTTTATCTCCAATCCCAGGCTGGCACATCGTAAGTTTAAGAAAAGTACATTGATAAAATGATGGTAAGAATAAATTTAATCCCAGTTCCAAACTTTAATTAATAGATAATACAGTTAGTGCAGTACCCATTGATAATAGAACAAAGATTGATTGCGAATAGTAAAACCAAACCATAGAAATCACAGCCAAAAAAGGGCAAAGACCAATATTGAAATGAGCTAATGAAACTCAAAGCAAGAAAAGCTACTAACTTGGAGCACGGAAAAATTCAATTTACCAAGTGGACGTTTGTTTATAATAAGTTTTGCATCTGTTTGGTTGAGAAGGTGGCATAAGTACATTTTCTTGGTTAATTACAGATCAAGCAAAGTAAAGCAAAACCAATCTAGTCCTAAATTACCTCAGTAATTCAATTCAAATTTGCTCTGTTAAGCTGATCACTGTCTTTCCTCAACAAGTCTTTAATTCAAGCTGCGTTCCATGTCTTAGGTACAACAGTCATCAATTGAAAACAGGTGCATATAGACCTTTAAAGTAGAGCTGACTTTTCTAGAACTAATTCTTTTCCATACTTTTGGTTTTCAGAAACTGATGAATGCAAACCTGTAGCTTACCAATTGACGTGCTTCTTGTCCATTTTTGATGCGAGTTGGGTGTTTTGCTAATACTGATGCAGCTTTCCTGGATTAAAGGATATTGGTACTTAGAGATAGATGCTGACAGAAGTGAAAAAATTAAGGAAGGGAGGGGGGAGGGGGTTGAGGCGAAGGAAGGAGATGTGGGTTAGTCAAAAGTTAGTTGCCTCTCTCCCCCAAACCATAAAAGTTTCCTGAATGTGTCCCTGAGATGAGACAACAACTTTTCATGAGCCATTTCACAACCAATCTGAAAACCAAAATTGAAGCTAGGTGTTTCATATAATCAAGCATAAAGAGATAGAGGTATTTGAACTTTGAAAGGATTGGTCTTCATTCTCTTCTAACTGAGCCAGTTTTTTTTTCTCTTCAGAATGGCTGTTGAGTAAAAATGTAAGATTGTATTCTTCATCAACCTAATCTGTTTCAAAATTTCACCCACTAGAACTATGTCAACCTTTTATCAAACTTATCAACTCAAATTTCCTCATGACAAAATAACCACTCAATCATAAAATCAAAGCTTCAGGGCATTCCCATAGAAGAAAAATAGGTCATTAACATATAAATATCAACACAAATCAAATTAAAAATAAAATATCATTAATTGGTTATTTCAAATATTTGACCTACTTTGGAGAAAACCAAAAATATTTCAATAATATTGAGGTTCAAGTAAGGCCTTGAGCCACTATTTAACTCTTTACCCCCTAACATCATTATCCAAATTCTCGATAGTATCCACCATATATTTCCTAAGGTGCTGATAATGAGAATTGGTTGAATAATCAAGAGCTTCTTTAGTTGATGATCATTATCTCTGTTCTCATGACCTTGATGTTTGATTAAAGTGTGATATTGTAAGGAGAGATTAGATACTAGACACTCTTAGCAGTTTAAGGGTTAAAAATGCTTTATAATTTTTCAGGCTTTTATGGGATTCAAACCTATACCCATGCCCGAAAAACATTTGAGTGCCATTTCCAACAGAGCAACCAAGCTACATTGAGGCACTAGGTCCTACATTCAACTGGGACTATTTTGCATTGGCGTGATCCATGGTTGATTTTGATAATTTGCACATACTGTCCTTCACTAGTATATTAAATAACAATATTGAAGTATCAATGAGGCTCTCAAGCACTACATAAACAGATAATATATACTTTTATATAAAATATTTTGAATAAAGTGGGTAAGTTTCCTAAGAAACAGTGGTGCTGTGTTGGTGGGAGAGGGGCTAACACTTGAAATGCCATCTAAACAACTCTTTAAGGTGGCTAATTTACATTATCAACCCAGTTGATAACACTAAATTTCCCTGTTATAAAAGATTTTGTTTGCCATAGTACAACATTGGGTAAAATTTCCACACAGCCCCATACTATTGTAAAACAAATATGTTTTCCCAATGGCAATGTATTGTTTTTTGTCATTGTTTTCTCTATCCAAGAATTGAATGCATAATGTAGTACAGGGCTGCGCAGAAATTTTATCCAACATTGAATTGATTGTATGGTACAAAACCGCAAGGCATTAACAGTATTAGATGCTTATTTTCACTCTGCAAAAAAGAATAATGATGGAATGTCATTAGAGCAAAGCTTCCAAAATTATTTACATAAAAAATCAATGCCATTTCATAGAACTAGCTTTTAAAAAAAGAAATTAAAAAAATAATCATAACTTTTCATATACCCACCGGTATGCATTGTGCTTGTGTATCTGCCTTGACACGTTCTTTTCGTATTCTGCAAGCTCTTCAAAATAAACCGAATATTTGTTTTCAATATTTGTCAATTAGCCTGCAGGCGCTAAGTCAAATATACCGATCTCCAAAATCAGTATGCATTGTTTCTAAGAGAGAACCCCAAATACAAACTATTTTGATTTCCAAATAAAGGAAGAACTCACCGATAAGGAAATCGCAAAAATCACTGTTTGGATTCTGCTCAGGTGCTTTCCGTTTACTCATTTTTCGCTAACAGTGTAGTCAACCTTGAAAGGAGGTCGCCATTTTTGTTTTGAAAATCCCGCGAAGAGCTTGGGTCCGATTTCAAATCGTTCTCGGCCTTTCGATTCTGTCACGAAATGAATGTTCTGGGTTGTTTTTTCCTTTGAAAAATTTATTGACAGCAATTAACGATATTTTCACCTTGAATGGAAAATTTCACCCTTGCGTAACGAAGATTAAGTCCTGCATGCGGAACGTCTTTTGAAATTGAAATTTACGTGACAGTCTCCGACTATTTTTACGTCGCGTAATCGATTACTAACCCAATATGACGTCACTGCACGAGCGAAGAAACACTGTAAGGGTCTTACGAAAGTAGTCTAGCTCGTGATTCCCTAGCTATCTGTGTTGCTGATCGGAAGCGGCTTATTCTCAGAGGGAAAAACTTCTTACAAGAGAACTACTACAAAGATCGTACGCTTTTGGTTCGTTTAGAACGGCTGTGCTTTCAAAGAAAGACGAATATAAAGGGCTATACAGCCACGCTGGAAACTAAACTGGCGAAAGTCCAATCTCTCGGAAGTTTAATGCTTTCGTCAAATCCATCACACTTTCTTCTACAAAACAGGACTTATATGACATTTGAACACTTGCTAATAAGGACTAGGACTTGAGTTTTATATTTTTGAAAGTGTTGATGATGTATGCAGCAAGAACATGTGCGAGATTGTTGAGGGAGCGTTTGGCAAGATATGGCAAGCCCTCGCTTCACAAGAGATGGCAACAAACTGCGGTTTTAGTCGCTCAGGAACCGTTTTTAAACGGTAGTAGTGGCAATTATGTGGAAGAAATGTACTTATCGTGGAAAGAGGATCCTAAAAGTGTACATCGGGTAAGTAATTTGTCTGATTTGTGGCCGTAAATTTTGATACTACAGCGCGCGAACGTTATTGATGTGAAATGTATTGAACACCCACGAACTCTACAACCCGCGTGTTTACCCAAAAGCGTCTAGAGTTTGGAGTTAGTTTCATTCAAATCGCTTTACCTCAATTGCTTCCTTATCGTGTAAAACATTTATAAAACGGGAAAAACAGTTCTAGAAAGATGATGCTTTTCATAGACGTCTAAAATAACACGCATACTAATTAGTGCTTTTCTTTATTATGAGGAAGTGAACCTTGACCAGCCCATGACCCACCCTCTAAGCTAGGGGTCCGCTTTTTATTGCAGTAGTCACGTATTGTTGCGCTAGAATGCTCACCAGGTTGCATGTAGATATTGCTTCTAAAAGTGAGGTAAAATCAGATTTCACAATATTCTGAGTCATTGTAAGTAGTGTAAAAGAAATGTCCTTTGACCTAGAGAAATCTAGCAAATTTTTGTAACTTTTTGTTAATATTTTTTTCATGGGGTGGAAAACATAGCAGCCAAAGGAACAATGGTGGATATTGATGGCCAATTTTCAAATGAATTGCAAATACACAATTAGAAAACTATGCATAATTGTTCAAATCCAAAAACTGTAAAAGAGATTCCTGAGAGATAGGTCTCTTCTTATTTGTAAAGAACATAAGTAAAACAAGAAAAACAGTTCTAGAAAGATGATGTTTTTAATAATCTGTCCAAAATAGCAGGCGTCTATAAAAAGAGATGCATGTATACTTATAAGAACTTTATTATGAGGAAATGAACTTTTACCGACTCGTGATTCACCCTCAAGGCTAGGGTTCTGTTATTTCTTGCAGTAGTCACATTATTTATATTCCAGAATGTTCACCAGGTCGCATGTAGATATTTGCTTCTATAAAAGAGGAAAATCAGATTTCACAATATACTGAGTCACTGTAAGTAGTGTAAAAGAAAAGGCCTTTGACTTAGAGAAATCTAGCAAATTTTTGTAACTTTTTGTTAATTTTTTTTTCATGGGGTGGAAAACATAGCAGTTAAAGGAACAATGACGGATATTGATGGCCAATTTTAAAATGAATTGCAAATGCACAACTTGAAAAACTATGCATAATTGTTCAAATCCAAAACTGTGAAAGAGGTTCCTGACAGATAGGTTTCTGTTAGGAAACAGGAAAAACAGTACTAGAAGGATGATGTTTTTAATAGTGTTTCCAAATTAGCAGGCGTCTTAAAAAAAGACATGCATACATACTAATAAGAGCTTTATTATGAAGAAGTTAACCTTGAGTGGCTCATGACCCACCCTCCAGGCTAGGGTTCTGTTGATTCTTGCAGTACTCACATATTATTTTTACGCCAGAATGCTCACCAGGTTACATGTAGATATTTTCTTCCATAAAAGAAGTCAAATCAGATTTCACAATATTCTGAGTCATTGTAAGTAGTGTAAAAGAAATGTTGTTTGACCCAAAGAAATCTTGCAAATTTTTGTTTATTTTTTTCATGCGATGGAAAACATAGAGGCCAAGGGAACAATGATATTGATCAATTTAAAAATGAATGGCAAATACATAACTATGAAAACTATTGATTGCTCAAATCCAAAAACTGTAAAAGAGGTTCCAGAGAGATAAATTGCTTCTCATTTGTGCAGAACAAAACAGGAAAAACAGTTCCAGAAAGATGATGTTTTTAATAATCTGTCCACACTAGCAGGCTTTTAAGAGACATGCATGTATACTAATAAGAGCTATATTATGAGGAAGTGAACATTGGCGGGCTCATGACCCACCCTCCAGGCTAGGGTTCTGTTGTGTCTTGCAGTAGTCACATATTATTTTCACACCAGAATGCTCACCAGTTTGCATGTAGATGTTTGCTTCTATAAAAGAGGTTAAATCAGATTTCACGATATTTAGTGTCACTATAAGTATTGTAACAGAAATGTACTCTGATCTAGAGAAATCTTGGAAATTTTTGTTCCTTTTTGTTTATTTTTTTTGTGTGTGTGGGGTGGAAAACATAGCAGCCAAAGGAACAGTGTTGGATATTGATGGCCAATTTTAAAATGAATTGTAAATGCCCAACTTTAAAAATTATGCGTAATTGTTTAAATCAAAAACTGTGAAAGAGGTTCTTGAGACAGGATTGGAAATTTCTTTGCAACCAGTGATGTTGAATGAAGTATTAAGCTGTCTTATTAAATAATTTGCAAATAAATTCTATACTGCCATATTTCTGCTCAGTAACATATCATGTTCTTACCAGGTTATTTAATATTCAGCTTATTATAAAGGTGTTGGTTAGAAAATGTTGATAATCACCTTATGCAACTTTTGTAGCATGGTTACTATGCGAACATTCGCCTAGTAGACAACTGATTAATCTAGTATTTATTGTCTATTAATGAAGTTCATTTAGGAAACTTCAAATTTACTAGGTGACCCAAATATTGTTCCATACAATCACTGATCACTTTCATAACAATAAATCATGAGAAAAATTGACAAATAGATTCCATTTTGCTGTGCATCTGTTCAGTGATAGATCATAGATAAGGTCATAATGTGGTATTATCTGTAATCTATTTCTTAGCAGACACATGGCAACACAGAATCTATTTGTCAAATACATTTTAGCACTGTTTTTAGCATAAAGCAATTTTTAGAGTTAATTATTTCTTTTTTTCTACTAAGTACAGGGCTTACAGATTGACATTGTTTTCACTTTGCAGTCATGGGATGTAGCATAAAGCGGTCATAGAGTTAATTATACTTCTTTGTTTCTACCAAACAAAAGGCAGATATATTGACTTCTTTTCTTTTATCTTTTTGCAGTCATGGGATGCTTACTTCCGTCAAGTTGAAAGTGGAAAACCCCCAGGACAAGCTTATCAGCCACCGCCCATCTTAGGACAAAGTCCTGGCATGGTAGCAACACCACAAACTGTTCCAAGTGCTGTGGATCAGTCAACAATTAACGAACTAGTGTCAGATCACTTGGCAGTTTACTCATTGATTCGTTGTTACCAGGTAATACAAAGACTGCAGTGGATTTTTTTTTCTTTTTTTTTTCCTACTAACTGAAGATGCACCAGGCAATTTTGGTTGTCAGTCTTATCAAAACATTAAACTCTCACAGTACTTCTCTCACCACCCATGTTCTTAACCCTTTAACTCCCATGATCTTATAAGTAATTCTCTTTACTTCTCCCGTACAGTTCTTGTGATGTTAGTTTGGAGAATTTGGTATTGGATCATCTTATAATTCTAAGACTGATATTTTTCTATATTCTCACCACTTGTCTGCTTGATATTGTATTGATATTGTATTGATATTGTAAGGAGAAATTCTGACTTGGTCACTCAAGGGAGTTAAAAGGTTAAACAGGTACTCACCAACAGTCAGGGAAATTTAAAGACAGGAATAATTCCAATTTTTCCCCCCAAAATTTCAGAGAAAAGTAATAATGAAAAATGATAATGATGACTCAAAATATATTTTATCAAACAATAGTTTTTTCCACCTGGCTTTTGATGCATGTGTGGTTCTTTATTTATAAGAAGATTTCTGTCCCAATTTTCTGCAATTATAATGTCAAACAGTAATTTTTAATCCTTTAACTCCCAAGATCTGATTGTTAATTCTCTCCTCTAGCTGCCTAACATTTCCTTATAAATTAGTTATGAGAACTTGGTGCTAGATCAAGTAGCAGCTTCTATTTGATAAGTTTGAATATTCTCATTACCTTTTTGCTGGAGAAGTTTCATGTTGATCACTTCTGGGAGTTAAAGTGTTAATAAATTCTTCTTGCAGATCCGAGGCCATCATGTAGCTCAGCTAGACCCTCTTGGCATCTTACAGGCTGACTTATCTGAAACTGTGCCAGCTGATCTCTCCCTAGAGTACTGGGGACTGGGTGAGTCATTGATTTAGAAATTTTGTCCCTTGAAGACAGTCACCCAGTTGTTCAAATGACTAATTGTGCCATGCTATGGGTGAATCTCTATACAAATGCTGACAAAAGTGTTTTGCTTTCCACCCAGTAGAGATTTATCTGGTGGATGGTATTAGCCACCTTTTAAACAATAGGGACCTGAGATTTCATTCAGGGTGGGGCATCAGAAAAATTGACTGGCTGTGAAGACAACTTTACCAGGCTGCGCTGATTTGCTATTAATACTTTCCTCATGTTTTCTCTTAAAATGAAAGATATTTGAACTTATAAAATGAAGAGATTTGACAAGTGGAAAGAAATTATTTGTGTTAAAAAAGAACTAATTTATCTGTCTCTCGAGACATAAAATCATGATTTAATTATTTAGAGAAATTTGATGTAACAGTTGATTAAATGTCAACTGTAACTGTCAACTACGTTGCAAAGAAATGATATGGCTACTCTTACAGTTATGTTTGCTGTCACTTGTCATTGATTTTACATTAAGTTTTAACTGACATTTGTATTTACTAAATGGTTATTTTTTTTTTCTTTTCTAAAGGTGAGACTGATCTAGACAAAGTTTTTCAGCTTCCTAATACAACATTTATTGGTGGAGGCAATGATGTTCTGACTTTGAGAGAAATAGTGAACAGGCTGAATGTAAGCTGGAGACTGTTTAAGAATTTGACTTATTAAATGATAAATAAACCCTTTTACAGTACTCCCAAGATCTCAATTTCAATTCTCAGATCTTTTGTCAGTCATAAAGGTCCCAGTTGTTCAAAGAGTAGATAACACTATCCACTGGATAGATCTCTATCAGGTGGATAGTGCTGTAAGTTTTATTAACTCTTATCTACTGGTCACTGATTTATTCATTGGATAGCTTTATCTTCCCTTTGGAAATCTGGTCCAGTTCTTTTGATTTTAGCCTTGAGAACTTGACATTAAGTCAAGCAATATCTGGAAGTTGATTTATTTTTCCAATCTTTTTCTGATTTTTTCTCTCCCACAGAATGCCTATTGTGGACATATTGGACTGGATTACATGTTCATTCCAGAAAAATATAAATGTAAATAAAATATGATTTTTTTACATTAATTAAAGAAAATGCTGAGTGAATGAAAGTTGTTGCAATGCTACTGTTTAACTCCAAGGAAGTGATTTTTTTTCTTCAGTTTTCCACTTCCTTTGGCCATACATGTAATGTAAAGACTTTATCATTAGTTGCTTTTTCTCATACTTTCAAGTATAGATATATGATTGGATAAAAACAAACCTCTTTTGAAGGGTATAATGACCTATTACTTTGTGATGACTGTAGTTTTTGAGTCTGTTTTTTTGTATTTTTTTCATTTATTTTTTTCAATTGAGTATACTAAATGGAATAAGTTTTTAAAGAAACCGTGATTTTAGCCCTTCTGTAGAAAATCTCTTTTGCTTTTGAATTTCAAATTACAATTTTTTCTCTTCCTCTCCCCCTTTGTATTATTGTTGTATTCACATGCGGCGAGTATGTTTCACAAATTAACCAATCACGATAAAGAACTCTAACCTTGACATTGAAAGCTGACATGAACATTTTTTGCCTACTTTTGTAGGTTGTTTTTCGGAATTATTTTTAACTACTTTTGAGCTTTTGTTCACACAAATTTGTCTCTCCTTTGTTTGGAATTTTAAGAAGTTTTGGAGTTTTTATTTTTGCCAAATGTTGTGGTTGATTTAAGAAATTCAATGTATAATTTTGTGCAAAGTGTGGACTCTAGCCTCTTTCTTCGTAAATGGATTCTTTACACCTTTGTTGGGACAAACCCTTGGCTTTGCCTCTCTCTGATGAAAGGCTAAGCCTCAAATATCCACTTTTGAAACTCTGTTAGCCAGTTTACATCATCAACTCAGTTTTTTTTAATTGACTTGTTTTATTGGTTTTATCTTAATTTTCAAGGTGACTGGATAAGGAAGAGATTTGAGACCCCAGGGATTGTACAACTAGATGTGGAAGACAAAAGAACTTTGGTCAAGAGACTCGTTCGCTCAACTGGGTAGGAATTCCATGCTCATTATTATTGGGTACAGAAGTATTACCTTGAAGACCAGGCAACACCTGTGTCTTTTCATAAGGGTAGTATGGGGATTATTTTCTGCAAAGCTAAAGGGAGCTACTAACAGTAACCTTGTCTATCCTTTGCAAAATGCTATTTCCCAATTCTTGGGCAATATTGAAAATTAAATTCCTCAAAGTGACTCCAAAACAGAAATAGAATAAGTTAAAAAAGAAGAAAAGAGACATTTTAAAACAGCAAAGGAACAGTAATGGTAAAATAAGGGGAATATAAAAAACATGTTGTAGGCAATGAATTTGAAAATGTTTACTTTTTTTTTTTCTCATAAACTTTAGCAAGCTTTTATTTTGTGTGTTTAACCCTTTAACTCCATGATCTAATTGTCAATTCTCCCTTCCAGCTACTACATATTTCCCTTGAAATTAGTTACGACAGTTTGGTGTTAGATCAAGATAACAACTTCTATCTGATAAGTTTGAGTACTCTCATTACCTGTTTGCTGGATAATGTATTGATATTATAGAGAGAAGTTAGTCGTTAATCACATCTGGGAATTAAAGAGTTAATTTGGAAATTGGCATTTAAGAATACATTTTCTTTCCTCTGCATAATCTTGTTTCCAGACTGTGTTAACCCTTTAACTCCCAGATCAAATTTATAATTCTCCTTACTGTCAGCCTGACAACTCTTATAATGTTAGTTCAGAGAATTTAGTATTGGATCAACTAATTATTCCCAAATTGATATTTTTCTTTATTCTCATCACTTATCTGGTTGATATTGTATTGAAATTATAAGGAGAAATTCTGTCTTGGTCACTCATGGGAGTTAAAGGGTTAAGTAAACATGGTGACAGGGTGAAATATAGAATACAGCCGATATTGTTTGTTTTTGTAGATATGTTGTTGTTGTTGTGTTGGCTTGCAAGGTGGTTGAATTTCATTTCCCAGTTTTCCCTTTGTGATTTCTTCTAATCATGCATTGTTAGGTTTGAGGCTTTTCTCGCCAAGAAATGGTCATCAGAAAAGCGCTTTGGCATTGAAGGCTGTGAAGTATTGATTCCAGCAATGAAGACAATCATTGACAAGTCAAGTGAGTTTGGTGTGGAGAGTATCATCATGGGAATGCCACACAGGGGAAGACTTAATGTCCTTGCTAACGTCTGCCGTAAATCACTGGAACAGATCTTTACTCAGTTTGATCCAACCCTGGAAGCGTCTGATGAAGTATGTATGCAGGGTTATGGCACTTTCTTATTTACTCCTAATGCTTTTCTATTTACTTGTAATGCCTTTTTCCTTAAGGATGTTTGCATCCAAAATAGTGTGGTGTTGACCATAATGGGGAAGTTACCTTTGAAATGGTTATCTTACATGTTTTACAACAATTTGAAGTGTGAAACAAAAGCTTTGAGCTATCATGCAGATTAATTAGTTGTCAAAACACTTGTATCTGCGTTTAAGCCCCATCCCAAACTTTAATCCCATTTTTTCAACAAAAAAAGTGCAGCCTATCTGAGGGTAAATATTTTACTTCAGTAGCAGTAAATGATGTTTCAACAACTTGAGGGATTTCGTGATCAGATTTAAGTCTTATAACCCCATTCCTCAGGCTTTTGAAATGCCAGTTCTCAAGGGAGGGAGCAAATGCAAACATTTGTAGTCAGTGCAGTAATGAATGATGTTTCAACAACATGAGGGATGTTGTGATTGGATTCAAGTCTTAAAACAACGCCTTGCAAGCTTCAGAAATGCCACTTCCTTTCAAGGAAGGGAGCAAATGCAAATAATTTTTGTCAGTGCAGTGAATGATTTTTTAACAACCTGAGAGATGTTGTGATCGGATTCAAGTCTTATGACAACTCCTTGCAGGCTTTTGAAATGCTACTTACTTTTGAAGGGAGGGAGCAAATACAGACATTTGTAGTCCTTTGTAATTTGGGGATCTTAACCTTTTACTCCCATGATCTGATTGCTAATTCTCCCCTCTAGCTGCTACACATTTCCTTGTAATTTAGCTAAGAGAATTTGGTGTTAGATCAAGAAAACAACTTTAAGCTTATATTTAGTCCAAGTATTCTCATTAACAGTTTGCTATATGCAGGGCGTGAAATTAACTTTTTTTTCTGATAGCCACTTGGCTCCTAAATTCTTCAAAGTGGTAGCCAATTCAAAAAAAGTTGGTCGCCATTTTCAAAGACAAACAAAATCTTTCTTTACGCTGTCAGCGTTCTAGATAGACCCTCCAAAATTAAGTTAGGGAAAAGATCTTTAACGTGCTACAAAGTGGACACTAGGATGGATGATATACAACGTTCAGGCTCATCTAAATCCAAGATGGCGTCTAGTTATCGATCGAGATGCATGTGCTACGTTTTGGAAACAAACTTAACGAGGAAGTTTGCCGCGGATTTATCTTTGCAAATCTTTTTAATTCACTATATCTCTTGGTAAGGTTATGATGAAACGTTCTAGTCGCCAATTTGGCGACTAACTTTCAGGATTTGGTCGCCATAGTGAAAAATTTAGTCGCATTGGCGCCTGTATTAGGCGCAATTTCACGCCCTGTATATGGTGTTTGGATACTTAAGGGAGAAGTTAAATGTTGATCACTTCTGGAAGTTAAAGGTTAAGGATGCTTACTTCACCCCATTTAATATTAACCCTTTAGGTTCCACTAGTTACCAAGACAGAATTTCTCCATACACTATTGGTATGATACCAAGCAGACAAGTAATGAGAATAAAGAAAAATATCAAT